ACAGTTTATTCAACCAACCTGTATTGGCTCCTGTCACTATAGCAGTCTTCCCCTGCAGACGCACCGGGCAGGCTCGTGGATCCCAGCGCCCTCTCCTCTGTAAGCGCACAACGATGGCCAGCAGCGCCGTGGAAACAGCCCACACCGGGTGACAAAGCATATCCAACCAACTCATTTCTGTCGGGACTGAGCGCCTAACAAGAACTGGAAAATGAATCTGGGAGCAGCTGGTCAGCATGCGCCGACTTCTTATTCTACATGCAGTAGTAGGTGTGCCTAAAAACCTCAGCAACAGTAAACCTGCTGGTAGCCTAATTCATTAAGGCAGGGACATATTCCTATTTGGGCTTAGGGGTTTTCCTGTCAATATATTGTTTGAAATTGAAATAAGTAACTTCTCGTCATGAAAACATCTGGTTTTAATACATTGACTAATATGATCTATAAACCTTGGACGTCAGCAAAAGCGGAAAACACAGCTTATTGTGCTCGGATTGCTCTTGTCAGCAGGAACTGTCACACAGCACAAGTTAATGAGTTAAACAGCCGTGCTGCTTATTTATTACTTATTAACACAATCACTATCATTTAGACTGTTATGTCCTGGTGGAGGTCTGAGGTGCACCAGCTGCCTATGGCGGGACAGAAGGTCTTATTGCATTTATGGTGAAACAGCTCCAAAACAAAACCCTACAGTAGTATAAAAATGTGCTGTGCAGTGTCCACACTTTAGGGCTTCTTACAACTTTAACATTTGGTTTAAATGTTATTATTGTAGTTATTACATAGTCAAATATGTTTCTGCAGCAGTCAGGAAAAATGTGTGTAATACACTCCCTACAGTTCACATGTGATGAATATTAATCTGAGTTGTCACAGGAGGAATGTGACTTTTAAATTTAATTATAAGAAAATGAATAAACCACTTTACTATTGTGTCTTTATTTTAAAGGCTGGTACTCAAGTCAGGGCTGTTTTTAAAAAAAATCTTATTCTGGAAAACTTAATGCATTTTGTTTGTCTGGTTAAAACTAAAATGTTAAACTTGCCATTGTTTAAAATAATCTGTCAGACTGAAGTAAATGAAGAATATTTAATGTTACATTTGCATCTTTAAAGAAAAGAGATCAGACATTCACATGCTCCATGTCAATTCCTGAAGTCAATCATTTACACACATAACAGCACAAGGTCAATAAAACAACTATTAACCCCTTTAGGGATAGTGGGTAAATGCTCGTTGATCATTTGACTCAAGTACTGAACTGTGCGGCAAGATCTGTGATCATGGTCAAGTCCTGAAAATGTTCGAAAATTTTTTAAAAGGTAAGTTAAAAATGTACAAGGCATTATATCATAACATGTTTTTTGAGGAATACCTGGAATATGAAACGATAACAACTTTTCATAACAAAGATATTGCAAGAAAACGACCACACCGTGTAATTTTAGACCCACTTATGCATCTAAGGGTTACGTTTTTGAGTGAATTTCTGGATTCAGGAGTGCCAAGACGGTGATGGTCATTGCAAGCCACACTAAGCTTCACAGCAGCTCCTCAGAAACCCTATGGGTGACGTCATGGAGATCTTATATTACATCTGTGCAGCAATCAAGATAGATTCTTGAAAAATATCTTGCCCAAAAACATCCATCGTCGCCATCGTCTTCAACCAATGGAATTCCCTAATAATTATGTTCGAATGTTGAGAAGAAACCACAGTCACATACATACATACATACATACATACATACATACATACATACACACACACACACACAGTGGGTACGGAAAGTATTCAGACCCCTTTAAATTTTTCACTCTTTGTTTCATTGCAGCCATTTGCTAAAATCAAAAAAATTCATTTTATTTCTCATTAATGTACACTCAGCACCCCATCTTGACAGAAAAAAACAGAAATGTAGAAATTTTTGCAAATTTATTAAAAAAGAAAAACTGAAATATCACATGGTCATAAGTATTAAGACCCTTTGCTGTGACACTCATATTTAACTCACATGCTGTCCATTTCTTCTGATCCTCCTTGAGATGGTCCTGCTCCTTCATTGGAGTCTAACTGTGTTTAATTAAACTGATTGGACTTGATTAGGAAAGGCACACACCTGTCTATATAAGACCTTACAGCTCACAGTGCATGTCAGAGCAAATGAGAATCATGAGGTCGAAGGAACTGCCCAAGGAGCTCAGAGACAGAATTGTGGCAAGGCACTGATCTGGCCATGGTTACAAAAGCATTTCTGCAGCACTCAAGGTTCCTAAAAGCACAGTGGCCTCCATAATCCTTAAATGGAAGAAGTTTGGGACGACCAGAACTGGCCGTCCAGCCAAACTGAGCAATCGTGGGAGAAGAGCCTTGGTGAGAGAGGTAAAGAAGAACCCAAAGATCACTGTGGCTGAGCTCCAGAGATGCAGTAGGGAGATGGGAGAAAGTTCCTGCATAGAGTTTGCCAAAAAACACATGAAGGACTGCCGGACTATGAGAAATAAGATTCTCTGGTCTGATGAGACCAAGATTGAACTTTTTGGCATTCCACACCTACCAACACAGCTAAAATAACAAAGGAGTGGCTTCGGAACAACTCTGTGATCATTGTTGACTGACCCAGCCAGAGCCCTGACCTAAACCCAATTGAGCATCTCTGGAGAGATCTGAAAATGGCTGTCCACCAACGTTCACCATCCAACCTGACAGAACTGGAGAGGATCTGCAAGGAAGAATGGCAGAGGATCCCCAAATCCAGGTGTGAAAAACTTTGCATCATTCCCAAGAGGACTCATGGCTGTAGTAGCTCAAAAGGGTGCTTCTACTCAATACTGAGCAAAGGGTCTTAATACTTATGACCATGTGATATTTCAGTTTTTCTTTTTTAATAAATTTGCAAAAATTTCTACATTTCTGTTTTTTTTCTGTCAAGATGGGGTGCTGAGTGTACATTAATGAGAAATAAAATGAATTTTTTTGATTTTAGCAAATGGCTGCAATGAAACAAAGAGTGAAACTTTTAAAGGGGTCTGAATACTTTCTGTACCCACTGTATGTGTGTGTGTATATGTGTATATATGTATGTGTGTGTGTGTGTGTGTGTATATGTATATGTGTGTATATATGTATGCACATAATGAACAAATAAAATAAACGCATTCTGCCAGTAGAAATGATTCCTGTGGCTATTTTTTGGGGAGCTTTCTTTATTTATTCTGTGTTGTATTAATGTAGCCTATGAGTGTTTGATTAATTTACTATAATGATTAGCTACAGAGGATGCGTTCAGCCATTTCCAAGCGCTTACTAATGTCACTGCAGCAAATAAGCAGCTAAACTTATAAAGTTGGCAGAGAAACTCTCCAGGACTGCTGTTTTACTCTGAATAATTACCCTGTTTGAACCTGGTCTGTGTGTGGGAGATTTTGGAAGTGTGAAATATCACAGAACATGAATTAACATTAGATCCTGTCGGTGTGTGTGTGTGTGTGTGTGTGGTTTAAATGATCAATGGAGCTGCTTTGTGCCGTAATCAGAAACGGACTTCGCTCCATGTGACGCTTTAGAGGAAAGGACTCACTGACAACATATTTACTCGTTCCTTATTTCCTTCTTCTCGTTTCCTTGCGTCTCTCCGTGCATCCCTGGTGGGAAAAGACGCAAGTGATGGAAACGTGGAGGCAATTAAGCGACCTAAGACTATGGCTTTAAGTACTGTCACTAAATAACTGCTGTGCACCTTTTCGGTCACAAGTTCTACTATTGAGTGGAAGCGAGGCAAATTATACTTATATACCTTTGACTTCAAATTTATCGGTATGCTTTAGCTGATGGCGTCTGATGAAACTTTCTTGGTCTGTAGACTTGCAGTCATATCAAATTTTGATTATTTAGTTAAATTTAGTTATTTGCAAGAAGGAACCATTAACAAGAACAATAACACAAACAGAACATATTTCCAGATTTTATTTGTTCATTTGGTCTTTATTTTTTATGTTCATAGTTATCACAATGGTGAAGTATCAGAGGGATTAAAACATCTGTTATAGAGCAATTTAACACTAGTTCTTGCATGGAGGAAAAGCATTGCCATGCTGACCTCTGTGGGACTACTCTAGTAGTGTAGGTAAGTATCTCCAGTAATACTGCAGAATGTTTGCAACACCAAATCATGCTTTCTTAGCATGATTATCAGTTGTTATTGTCACTTAGACACTTCTTACATTTTAGTTGCACTCACCAGAATTGCCTTTTGTATATTTTATATAGTTATATTAATAAATATTGACAAGAAGTTTTCCAAAATAAATAAGTAAGTTTATTTATAAAACAGAGGTTTGCAAAATCAAATGTTGTTGACTTTGTGAACATGTCACATGATGATGGAAAGCTTTTATAAATTTCCATTGTGAAGTCCAGATAAGAGTGCCTGTGGTCAATGAAGCTCCCATTTTAATCAATACTTTCTGTTGTTATGGTTGTTTCCCCCACTGATTTGACTGAGACTGTATTGTCTTGTTATTCAAAGTGAAAATGTTTTAATGTGGCCACCAGGTTTCTACAGAATGGACAAACCAAACACTGGCTCTAGATAGGCCATTTGCATTTAGGCGCATTTGACTGCTACTGTAGTTTCTCCTTTGTGCTTGGAGGGGGAGGGTGAAGTGAGGGTATTGTAATCAGCAACTATACCGCTATATGCCACTAAATCCTACACACTGGTCCTTTAAATAATCTCTACACAGTAACATAAATCAGTAAACAAACTGTTCTATGTAATTCATTTTACACACTTTTTGAGCATGTTATTGCTACTGTAAAACCTGCAGGAACAGTTGAACTGAATATCATGTCTTAACAATTTACTTTTAATCTGTGTCCTTATGGGCCATGCACAGCTACTGGGGGAGGGATCTGACAGTGGGTGTTGGAGCATATCCGGGAGGAGGGGGTTGGGTCAGGGCTATAAAATGTAGACAAATCCCAATGGGTACGTGTGACACAGAGAGACACACACATACACAAAGACAAAGTGAGTAGGGTAGAAAAGCAGAGAAGTCAGAAGAGGGGGAGGAAAAAGGAGGGGAATAGCTAAAAAGACACTTATTTGTGGACTACCTTACTACTTTACTAAATTTATCTTTATTTTTCCTGAATTAGAAAATAAACTTGACCGAAACAAAACAGGGGTAAAAAAGAGAAGAAGAAGAAATGAAGGACTTAATGCAGTCAGTAGAACTAGGAGTCTCTCAGCGGAAAGGAGTTAACGTAACTGGACCAAAAGTTTGGCTAAAGAATGAAGTGGTTCGTGTGGGACTTGCTGAATCCCTTTGCACATATGTCATGATGGTAAGAAACAAAATTCATTCCAAAAGATGTCTAAAGTGCCTTTCACAGCACTTGTTGTAATAATGTGTGATTTAAACTGACAAAAATGCCTCTTATAGTCATCCCTGGTGACAATTTCATCTATGTTCTGTTTTGAACGTGCTTATCTGAAACAAACACATGCCATTAATTATTAATATTATGTTCTTGACCCTGATAGTGTGCCCCCTCTACCAAATGCACACACAAGTGCATTTCAGGGTCACATGGCAGGGGTCCTGAGTGGGGATTGGTGGGTTCAAGTGGGTGAACCAGGAAATCTAGTGTTACAGAGGAATCGTCGGGCAGTGGGCCACATGGAGTGGGTTGCAAAAGTCACATGTTATCTGTCAGCTGTTATAATAAACCCTATACTTAGAAATACACAGGCACACACACACACACACACACACACACACACACAAGCACAGTGGGCACATGCTGAACACGGCATGTAAATAAGCATGTGAACACACACATAGGCATTTTGTATAAATCTTGCTGGACTTGTACTTGGGAAACCAGGCTTAATATTAACCTAAATACACACAACGTTTGGAAGAGGAACCACATGTTTCCTGTTTCCTGAATGAATAGCTGCAGTTATTCAGTGTCAGCTTTTTTTGTACTGGGACTAAAGTCTTTTTCACTAAGTCAAAAGTTAAATGAAAAAGAGCAAAAGCTTCAGTTCAGTTTCTGTTACACTTGTACCCATAGTTCAGTTTTAAAAAAACAAAACAAACATCCATTCTACACACTGACTGACACACTGACTTAATTGGCACCACTCAATCTGTTAATTGAATGTACAATATTTTTTAGCTAATTTACACATCCTGTCTACTGGAATGCCTTCCCTAAATTAGACTGTCTGGAATTTTCTCGCTGTAATTTTCTTCTCTTTGATAATCATCTGTGCCCGTGTACGGTTGTGCTTCTCTCTGCGTCCAGGTGTTTGGCCTGGGGTCTGTGGCCCAGGTAGTGACAGGACAGGGAGCGTTCGGAGAGTACCTCAGCATCAACCTGGGTTTTGGACTGGGTGTTGCAATGGGGGTTCATGTTGGAGGGAAGGTCTCAGGTACATGAGCTGACCCTTAATAACCCATACATCAAGAATTCTTCAGAGTCACCGCCAATCACTATAATCTGACACATCTTTCTCATGCTTTATTGCTCTGTCAGGGGCTCATATGAATGCGGCAGTGTCTCTCACAATGTGCACATTTGGCCGCCTTGCATGGAAGATGCTGCCTGTGTATGTTTTTGCACAGCTATTGGGGTCATTTCTGGCAGCGGGGACAATTTATGCTGTCTATTATGGTAAGGGCATACTGTATGTTCAAGCACACTAGGCACTGTATTGTTATAGAATCTTACACATTTACTTTTTACTTACTCTTTGGCGGTATATCATTGCACAAGAGTATCTGTCTTTTCAATACTGTTTCTATTATGCAGAAGCCATTTATGACTATTGTGGAGGAAACCTGACTGTGACTGGTGTAAAGGCCACAGCTGGTATCTTTGCCACCTATCCTGCACCGTACCTCTCCTTGCTGGCTGGATTCATTGACCAGGTAGCCATGAAACCGGATTAAATGATTACAGCTACAAATCTGACACATTCTGCACCAACCATTTTCTTTGTTATTTTGTTTTACACGCTGCTATCATGACTTATGTGTCTGTGTGATGTTTGTGCTGTGTATGTGCCAGGTGTTTGGCACAGCTATGCTGCTGCTGTGCCTGATGGCTCTGTCCGACCAGAAGAACAAACCGGCCGCAGCAGGCAGTGAGCCTGTTGCAGTGGGTCTCCTAGTGCTACTCATCGGCATTTCCCTAGGCAGCAACAGTGGCTATGCCATCAACCCCACCAGAGACATCGCACCGAGGGTCTTCACTGCCATAGCAGGCTGGGGGTCCGATGTGTTCAGGTATATACAGGAAGGATGTATTGGTTTGGTCAGGATGTGCTGTTGCTACGTGTCACCAGGGGTCAGTCGAAAGCAAAACATCTCTTAATTTTTAAATGACCTGTGTAGTTTTTCCACGCACATTTAGAGGGTATGACTAATTGTTTTCTTTTTTGATCTACCTCTCTAATTTTTGGTTCACACTTATCTGTCTTTATCTGTGTAGGGCTGGAAATGGGTGGTGGTGGGTGCCTCTGGCTGCACCTCCCATTGGTGGAGTATTGGGTGCGGGGCTCTACAAGGCCTTGGTGGAAATGCACCACCCACCCCTCTCTGAACAGGGTGAGGGGCTGCTCAAGGAGGAGACTGCCCCTTTGAGGAAACAAGAAAACATCTGTGCTAATGTATGTGTTTGAGCCACTCAACTATATATAGTGTATCCCTTGTAAAGCTATGAGGGTATCTGTATGCAGCTAAAACATTCCATGATGATGAAGGCTAAAAAGATAGACCAAAACAAATTGCTGCGATGGGGGACAGAAAGAGAGACTACCTGAAATATTGCTTTCAATATCTCTAAAAATTTTAAAATGAGTCTGTTTTATGTAATTATGTAAATATTTAGCCACTGTTTCTGTGCTTGTAAGGGGCTGCAACAGATAAAATACACATTATTCGATATTTTGAACCATTATGTGGACATCTATGGGTTACGGTTGCTGCCCATACCACATGTAGTTAATTAGACCAAAAGGAGCCATTTTTATGTATGGAGAATGAAAAAAAAAAAAAACCCACACACACTGGCCATTTTATGTTTATATTACTGAGGCATTAACAGCTGATATAACCTTGGAAGACACCATAAAAACAGAGTATGTAAAGAAAAGTAAACACCCCCCCATACAATGCACTAAAATAAACATGTAGCTTTTAGAAAATAAAATAGAAACAGTAGGAGTTGGCTCCTCACAGCTTGAAAGGGCAGCAGCACAATAAGACATAATATACACATTTATCTTTCCAACAAGCTAGTGCACAGCACCCTAAAGCTAAAAAGTGTAAATTTTCCTTGCTTCACTATGTAGGGGCTCCAAAGTACTTGAACCAAAACCTAATTCTAGATGTTTATTAGGTCTGCTGAGCAGTATACTTGGCATTATGACCGCTAAATGGATAAAGCTCCAAAATGTTGGAATATAACCTCCTCACATCAGTTGATTGATAAGGAATCATCAGAGCAGATGTCATTGCACAAACATAGTCTATTACTAGTCATTTTTATGTTTGTGAAGTTTACAGAGGAACATAGCATCAGTGAGACACTGCAGTGACGTGATGGCCAGTGAGTAACTTACATTACTGAAGACTATAGCTTGATGGTTTATTGCAACATGGAACATGTCATGGTTTGCATTTGCGTGCAATCTAAAGTGATGTAATGTTTGATACAGAAGCTCTGAAAATTTTCAGTGAGTCATGTGATCAGTTTCTGTCTGTAGAATCATGTGATCAGTTTTAAATTGTAGATACAAGTCTTCAGTCATACAAGCACTTTATTGACCAACTGAAACCTACACAGTATTATGTTCATTCTTCCTGTTTCCTCAATTTTACAGTCACATAAACATAGTTATTTACTTTTTCGTGTACTTGTAAAATGCATATATATGTATATAAAAATTGTTGTATGATTCAAAATTGAAATATGTACAGCAGCAAACCAAGCCTAGTGACAACAATTACAGATAAAAACTGATGATGACTGTGTCCTTATTGAGTATTAGTTGGATACAGCAGTGGTACAGTTTGTTACTACATGTCTGTATTATTTGTGGTATGTCAGCAGCACATAATCATATTTTATGAATTTACTGGTTTGGATTATTTTTACCACTAGTGAACACTGTGTTACATGAGGCTTACAATAATAACTATATGGGTGATGCAATTGGCTGGAAAGCAATAGTGCTTCTAATTTCTCCGTCACTAACGCTTAGCAGTGTAAGATAAACAAAAATACGATGATCAGGATTGTCACGATCAAATCAAATGTTTTCTTTTAAAACCACCTGAGCCAGGTTATGGGGGAATTAATGCTCATGAAACCTGGACCCCAGTAAGAAAAACAATAAACATATAAACAACAAAAACCTTTTTACATGCCACTTTGTCTTCACCAGCTGGTACCACTTGCCTGGTTAACCCTGGATATGGATCTATTTAGATATGTGGCATTCCAAACGTTTTAGATAACATGCACTCACGGTCCAACCAATAACGAAATAACAGACTGCTCCTCTTAGCCATGCTGGTTGTGCAGATAGTGGAGTTGGTTGAAATGTTTTCCTTTGACTGGAACGTTTTTCACCGCTTTGCCCCAATTTGTCTTCCTGTGCCGACAACCTGGGTCTTGGCAGTGCTCCCCAAGCTGCTCTGTGCCGACTGCTTCTTCTTGGGGGCAGGTACCTTGGCCTTGCCTTTGAAGGCCTTTATAGGATCCAGCTTGTTGAGATGGGAATCTCCAGCTGGATCGGCCAAGCTGAGCTCACTGCTGAAAGTCAGTGGTTGGTACAGTGATGCCCACTGCTGTAGAGGGAACAGGAGGAACAGTAGATAGTTTACAATACTGTTTATAGTAAACTAAAAATTAATAATAATGTCCAATAGAAACTGAATGTAACCGTATGGAAATTGAAGAAATGGAAAAATCCTGCTTCAAGGTTGAGGAAAAACACGTTTATGCTTTGTGTAAGTGTCTTAAAACTTTGAGTGTCATCCTAATAAAGTGTTAAAGTCCACATATTGTAATAATTGAGATTTCCCTTTTTTCCATTATAAAGCGGTGTGGGAGATATTTAAATACTGTGAAAGCATCAAAATGCTCAATACATGGATGAAAGCACAAGTATTCAGAAACTGTGCCTTTAAACGGGCAGTCAGCACTTCTATAAAGTTATGATGTCACAACTATACAGTCACCGCCCTCAGCCATGCTACCAGCTTTACTTTATTTATCCCGAGGGAAATTCAAGTACCTGTGGTTGGCGTACCCATGTACCACTCAGAAACAGTCAGCCAATCAGAAGAGAGGCTCATTAATACTATAAAATGCAACACCGGAAAAGTGTAAAATGCGGGACCTGTAAATTAGCCAACATTGTAGTGTAATGTAAAAGAAACAGAATGAACAAGCAGTATTTTATACACCTGCAATGACGTCAAGTGTTGTTAATAATATTACAAAGCCTACAACATAATTGAATACATTTGAACTAAACATGGTTTAGTTAATTCTGAAAAGAGAATATTATCTAAAAGTACTGCAGTAACTGAAAGTTTGGCGGATGCCATTTAAACCACAATATATGGTCTTTGAAATCAGACACTCTACCTTGGCCTGGGGACTGGGGCCATATGGGGTGAAGGCATACTGCCACTCAGGCAGACCCAGGTGCGTTATCATCAGTCGGTAGTAGGAGGTGAAAGTTGCTGTCAGAAAATGCCAGCACAGTGAGCGGTCGAGGAACCAAATTTCACTCTTCTGGGCTACAACACCTGGGAAATAAAAGGACCAACTGAATGATCGATAGGTAATATATTCATGTCTTAATAATAATTTTTTGTTTAACATAGAGGTTTAGAGAAATCATAAAAAGGTGCAATTTGTGAATACAAACAGAACCTGCAGTGCAGTTTTTGTAGACTAGGCACACTTTGCCGTTCCCACCACAGGAATCCAGCTCAAAGATACGGCTCCGGGAATCAAAATGGGGTGCAGTGGGAGCATGCCCCGTCCCTGGTAGATAACATTAATGAATCTTGAATAAATATTTACTTTCCAATCAACATTTCATTCATTAGCTTGCTTTCTGCACAGCTGAGCACACAAACAGACTTAATCAAACTTGACATGCTGTAATTGTTGAGTTAAGCCCACATGAGGATCTGACAGGTGAGGTTTACCACTTTCTGTGTTGTTCTCCTCCCAGTCCAGGTCAACCAGTGAGGGTGCATTGGGTAGAGAGAATAATGATACTGGTTGGAGCAGTGGACACAGCCTAGCCACACTGTTAATCATCATGTATCCTAAGGGAACACACTCATCTGAAAGACACACACACACACACACACACACACACACACACACACACACACACACACACACACAGTTATGATTGTATCACACAGCTGAAAAACCTTCACATAAGTCTTTGTCAGAAATTTGCAAGAGCTATTTGCATTTACCTGTATCATGTTATCTTAATAGTAGCCTTTCACTTGAAAAAATTAAGACTTCTGTGAGAATAATATTATTACAGACAGAACATAAAACTAATGAGGTCACCTACTGTCTAGTTTAACGCTCCAGGTTAGTGTAAATCCATCAGTTGTCAGATAGAAATCTCGCAGGTCCTCTGGCAAAATACAAGTGTTTTTCTAAGGAAGAAATAGAGCAGGTTCACATGATAGCACCATACAACCAGACCAAATCATATCTTTAAGGTGTACACAGTTTCACCTGTTCCCATGACAGCAGACTCCTCTTCTCTGCAGGCTCCCTCTCTACAAAACGCACATCGACCACCCCAGGCATGTTCTCTGGCACAGCATGGACAAATGGACAACATTTATTAACAGTTAGACATCAATCTGTTTGCTAGCTTGTTAATTTCTGGGCACAAACCATAATACATACCGAGTATACGAGTAATGCCCAGCGTCAGTCTCTCAGCAACACCTTTAAATGCTAGGCTTTCTTTTAAGTCTTCCATTTGGAAGATCGCAAATCACAAATTTGTACAAAACCCTGGAAGCATCCTCTGCAGCTATCTGCTCTGTATCATCTCTCTCCTTCCCAGCTGGAAGCACACACAGGAAGCGTCAAGAGCGGCTTTGACGCAGAATTGACACATGTCTAAGCCAATAGGATGCTGTCTTTCTGCAGACTACCCAATTGGCTGTTGAGTTGGAAGATGAAGGCGGGACTACAATTCCTTAGCAACGCTTGGCTCCCTGGGAGTGGTGGCGGTTGTTTCAACATGGCGGCAGCAGCAACAAAAAGTGGAAATTCGGGGATCTTTTGGATGAATGGCGGTATGCTTTCTTTTGCCAAACTACAGTAGCTTCCTTGTCCATTACCAGCTCGTACATATATTACAGAAAGTTCTTAAAGTTTCTGAAAGAGTCTCACAGATGTTAAAGTTACTTATGTGTCAGTGCTGGGAAGTTGTTATTTCAGAGGAAGTGAGACAGCTAGCGTTAAGTTGGTTAGCTAACGTTAACTATACGTGGAGTTAACTTGCCTCCTTTAAATGACCTATCTGTTATTGAAACTCTGGTTGTAGTATCGCCAGTAAACCGTGTTAGGTTTCTCACTACTGCTGTGCTGCTGGGCTCAACGTAACGTTAATACAAAGGCCGTCTGCAGTAATGTTAGATAGCGAGCTGTGTGAGTGCTAACTGTTTGCTTAAGAACAGGAAACTTCCTGTGAACTGTCTACACTTTGCATCAGGAAGCCCAATGCTTGAACAAACTTTACGTTATATTTGACTGAACGCTTACTGAAGTGCTTGTCTTCTCTTTGCCTTATTCACACAGTGTCAGATGAGGAGCAGCCTTTGGTGTTTGTGGCTGGTGAGTCTCAGTGATATTATATATAGTGACAGTTTGAGAGAATTGCTTGTACATATGGCATCCTCTTCTTCTGTCTTCCCGCAAACTAATTCAGGAGTGGAAGGAGAGGTGAAGACTCGGACCCCTTTTAATCTGGGACCAGGCAGCACAAGTACATCCAGTAAAAGAGGTACCAAGATGCGAGCCAGGCGAAGCTCTGACAACAAGAGCGAGACCACACTTAAGAAAGGAGGCAGGAAACAGGGATACTTACAAAGTGAGCGCTCTGGGGTTTTTACCAAGGAAAAAGAGCCAGTGCATCACAGTGCTACTGTAGCTACAGAGCAGCACATCCTCTCTCCAGACACTGGTACTTTTCACTCATCAACACAGGTAATCCATTGTTTTGTGATGGCTTGAATATGGAAGAGAGCATATGAATAATCTGAATACTTATCGAAAACAAGGAAGGGTGTGTAGAAACTGACAGTTTCAACAGTAGTTTGTGTTGATATCTTTTTATACTTGCTAACCGTTCTTTGCCCAGGTAATCTCAGAGACCAGCAGAGCTAGGAGCCTGGTCTGTTTGAAGGACCTCTGTCCTGAAGATAAGCGCCGGATTGCAAACCTCATTGAAGAACTAGCCAGGTAGCCAGCAGTATATACCACTCAACCCTAGGATAGTGTTAAAGTTCATATAAATGTAAAAATTTCAAGTGATACCTCACTGCAATGTTTCATTTTGTACTCCTGTATCGTTTCATCCCCGGTCACTGTTAGAATGTGTAATGCAGACCACCTATTCTTTAACACTGCTATTTTCTGTCCTCCAGAGTGAGCGAGGAGAAAGAAGAGTCAGTGCAACGTCTGAAAGATGAACAGGAATGTTTCGAGCGCAAGATCCATCAGCTGGAGCAACAGAACCTGGTCATAGCAGAGGAGAGAGAGAGTATCCTTTCAAAATAACTGAACAAACAAAAACTGTAGTGAGTTAGACTCTCACTCACCAATGCAAAAAGTAGTGATTTGTTGTATTTGTCATATTGTTTGTTTTTTTGAAACAGTAGGGAATTTAATATGCTTTTGCAAATAGCACTACTGGGTCATAGTAGATGGTGAATTAATTAACTTGACCCACAGTGGTTTAAATCCTTCATGCTCCTCACTCGTTTATGAGTAATTTTCATAGAACATGGCTATGTTTAATGGTGTAAAATAGGCTTCATGGTGTGTTGGTTGCTGTTTGGAACACTGTAGAGCCTGTACTACTACAGCTACTGCAAAATGTGGTGCACTATTATAAGGACACCAGAGGTCAGTCGAAACCTTCAGGGTATGATTGGTTTATCAGTTTGATTAATGTTACCAAGATGTTTTAATAAGGTATGCTAAAATCTCATGATAAAATGCACTTAACACCCTATTTTGAATCTGGACTAATAGTGCTACAGTTAAGTATGGTGGCACAGTTCCTTTATTGCATTCTTAGAGCAAATCCCTGGAGAAAACATTGTTTAATCACAAAAAATGTCACAAAGTGGTGCAAAAAGGCGTAACATTGAACAAACCTCAAGTGATTTCACTGATTAGCCCAACTTCAAACTAAAATGAGGGACTAATCAGTGAAATCATCCACTATAGCCTTTGGTTGGAATAAAAACTTGTTGCCAGCTCTCCACGGCACACAGTTGCATATCCCTGTAAGATGTACTTAAAAGTTCCACAGATGATTTATTGCAGGCTATATGGTTCCTTTGTGCTATTCCATAAGAAAGTCTCTAGGGGGCAGTGTTGTCTTAGGTAAGGCTGTGTACAGTGTTTGGCCGAGACCCTTCAATTTGATACAAAAGACAGAGAAACATAGCAGATTTATTTAAATTATTTGATGCCTGCTGCAGTTGTCTTTTGCAAGTGCTTGTAGCTTATCCACTGTTGTGTACAGAATCAATTTCATGGTTGGAGCCTTTGACCAAACCATCTAAATCATCTTATCATCCAAAGATGGATTTTGATATTTACTGAAAAGGCTTCAGTGTATGTTTTCACCAGCATGTGCTTTTGTAACCCTCCATGAATGCTGAACATTAACTGTAGAATATCTCTCAGTTCCTCCTTACAAAATGAGATCAGGTGGGTCACCAGCTGTTTCTGAATTGTCTAGCATGAGGTTAGTGCAAGAGTTTCAGCAATAGTATGCTGTTTATTGCACCCCACAACCCACCTACTGTCTTCATAACAATTCTGCTCAGGTCAAACCAGAGCATGGCCAGCAGTCAATTTAGGTTAAAAACACTGCGAAATATGAAGAGTAATTGACCCGGCTGGTAAATTGCACGATTGGCAACGGCGGCGGGGAAAATTAGGAAGCACAACTCAATTAAAGGCACTTTGGCTCGGAGACTTGGCATTTACACCAAACTTCTAAACTCCATTAAAAAGGTATTTGAGAGGAAAAAGTGTTTGGATCCAAGCACCTCAGGGGGGATAACATAGTCTTTTAAAGTGCGTGCAAGAGTCATGAAGGCTCTTCTCAGGCAGAAGGTTCCGGCACTTCTCTGAAAGGTTAAGGAGACACCAAAGGCAAACACACTGAATGAGAGTCTTGTCAAGTCTAATTCCATTACGCCTCCGCTTATCTTATCTAACCAAAATTCAGGGTTGTCAGGGGTATAAAGAATGTAGGGCTATACCTTAGCCCCAAGCCACCTAGGATGTTCAGCTGACATTTGGAACTGACTGGCACACAGGACTGAATCTGTGTTTCAGATAGGAAGGATGCCTTTTGTACTTCAAGGAATGTTGGCATGGGCAGAAGTCAAGGTGGCGTTACTAACACGGTGTACCGTATCCAGAACAAGGCACAGCAGGTGCTACAGCTAATGCCATTTATTGAGTTGAAACAATTGGAGGGAATCCTGGGGCCATGGAGAGGGGGGAATAACAGCCCATTTAGGATATGTCATTGAAAAATGCTACATGTTGTGATAGAGGATTGCCAGAGCTAAATCCATTTTTACCCTCTAATGTTTGGATGAATGACATTTACAATGTGGAAATCTGGTGTTGTTGAGTGTGCTTTTTGTGATAAGCATGCATTTTTGGAGAATTCTCAGCTCTTTGTCTTTTTGGCAGATTAAGCCCCAATATGATGTCAGCTCCGTGGACATTGTAATGATCTGGCCTGGGTGTTGTATATCTTACTTTATTCTAGGTATGATGTGGTTGAAGCCATGTGCTGTGTAAGGTGTGCTCTGTGTATTAGAGGAGTTATAATCAAACTCAATTCTAATCTGTCTCTTTATTGAAGCTCTACCTGATTACTGCTGACACAGCAAATAAATATCGTAAATGCTGTGGTTTTGACTGGTTGAATTAAGAACAATTCTGTGAGCCCTCCATTCTGCAGAGCTACTGTAAATAGTAGAAAAATCTGCATCCACGAATAGGCTGTTAAAATATATAATCAAACTGAGTTGTTTGTCCTTAGAAGCTAAAGTTTGGCCTTGTAAATAACTGTCATTTTTTTTGGACTGGTGCCTTCGTGCAAGGTTTATATAATTGTTGACTGAATCACTTTAAATTCTTAATTGAATATAATACAAATTAAATTGAACCAATCGTGGGCGTAATGTGAAATTAATAATGCATAATGCATTGAATATTTGCTAAAAGAATTAAAATTGAATGAAGCTGTTGTTGGTACACCTTTACTTTGTATTGTGGCGACTTTTGGCTCTGTGAATTGTGGGCTTGTTCATGGTAGGTGACATTCCATAGACACAAGCTCATTTGTACAGATGTCATCATGTGTAATGATGAAGACGCAAGATAGCTTGTGCCTAAAAAAAACAGGTATCGCATTAGTTGTGATCATAGTGATGAAGACGGCTGAGAATAGTAGGGATAAGAATGGTTGTTCTGCATGTTTGCTCTTGGAATCTTAAAGGCATTTTCAAAATAATTGTTAGCTGACATTTGGAGTTATTTATTGGTTTATTGTGTGACTCGCACTCATGTCTCTTCTCCAGATTCAGTAGTATTGAAGCAGTTATGTAAACTGTCTTCTTCTATTAATTCCCCGTCAGTGCTTCCTTACACACACATTCATACACATCAGTCTCCGCCCCCGTTTCTCTCACATTCCTGCTCAGGCTCAATCTGTTTGGCACAGTGTGCTAAAGCAGGCTTTAAAATATTCCCCCCTCCTGTGCAAATTTGTTCCACCTTGAAGTGGATTTCATTATTTCATTTGAGCCCTGGCCTGACAGGGAAGTGAATCATTTTGACAGGCCCCGTCTGAAGCCTCTTCAGCCCAAGCCCTTGATTCTGAGTATTTTTGGAGCACGGGGGAGGAGTAAGTCATTGTTGGCACTTTGCAGCTCTGATGTAAACTAGGGGCTTGCAGAGTGCTTGGCCCCCATTGGCTGACGTCCAAGGCTGTGGAGGAAGCATGTTTAGTGTGGCAACGTGCAGAAAGGTGGAATCTTATCAGTGTCGCTCCACTCGGTTCAGATTACCTAGCGCTCGCTGTCCAGTGACTGCATGAGCCTGTCAACACATTAACACACTTACCTTCATTTATGGCATTGGGATGCTATGATGCTGCAGTCCTGTTGGTACTATATCCCAGATAAACTTTTTGTGTGTATTTTGGTTTATGGGTCCCTACCATACCCGATTCGTATTGCAGTGTACTGTACTGTATATTTCTGTCTATAAGGAAACATTTTTTTTAGGTGTGAGAAATGGAAATGGTGGCTTATGCGAATCTGGTGAAATATGAGCAAGCATGCCTTTTTTCGACTTAACACAGAACTCTCTATCTTGGACTGAGGTGAGGTGTAGCAGTATAAACATATTCAGTATCTCCTCTTCAAGACCCTTATTCATACTGCATAAATAGACCTACCAGCGCAGGTTTACATGATGTGATGTCCTTGTGATGTCCTTAAGCTTTCCATATTGAACTACTTCCATGGACATTATCAGTGCAGCGGTAGAGGATCCTTAGTTAGATGGAAGGCTTCCTCACATTTCCCCCAATGTTTATGGAAGCCGCTGCATTGCATTTGTCTGGTGTCTGGTCCTCAATTCAAAGCCGTCTCCGCTCTCTTTTCTTTCCCTCTGTTTCATTTCCTCAGCCTGATTGAAGTCTTCTAACAACCAAAGTGTTTTCTTATGGAGTGTTCCGCCAACTATTCCTTCAATAAGACTCTACTTTGAACTTTGATTTTCTCTTTAAATGGGGGCTTTTTTTTCAAACGGATGCTGAGAAACTCATCAGCTGGGGGAGCAGGGCCACCATCATAAAAAGATATGGCCTAGAGGAACACACTTTAAGGTCAGCTCGGGTGGGAGTGTGTGTACTACTGGCTTTATTGTAGTGTTTGTGTGTGTGGGCTGTTTACAGTACATGTGGGGAATTTGTGCTCTTGTGTCTCGCTGTGTTTGTGTGTGTGTGTGTGTACTAGAAAGAGTCAGACCGAGGTTGATTATCGAATGTGTGTGAGTGTGTCTGTGTGTGTAGTCTCTCCATTCTCATGCTCATTATCTTCGTATGTGCTGGTGTGGTGTGGTGCTGCCACTGTCATTAGTGGGCTCCTGAGGCGCAGCAGTAGTTCCACTCCAGATTAGTTTTTTTGTGTCTGCCAGCACTCTGTCTGGCAGATAGCCTGGCGCGGCACTGCCCAGCTCAGCTCAACACAGCTTGGCCCGACCCAGATGGTGAAAGCTCTGTGCCACAACAACAACTTTGATTTTGCTGGCCTCTTCTCCCCCTCTGTTTTCAACTTTGCTGTTCTCTCTACTTTTCTGGTCCAATGTGTAATTGATTGCAGAAACAAGGGTTTGATTCAGATTGTCAATCTAAATCCAGCATCTTTTTTTACATTTAAGCTACATAAGATAACTTTTTCACTACCAAAATGGCTGCACAAAGTTACCTTCTCAGTAGAGCCACACAGAAGTCAACACAGAAGTCTGCTTACATGCCTTTTTTACTCTGTAAAAATATTTCCTTTTAAATTCTCATCAAAATATTTTTCTCTTTCATCTCTTCCAGCCACATGCTTTCATGGTACCCACAGTTTTTTTTTTTTTCTGGCTGAATCAATTTATTGTTCTAGCCTGAAAGTTTAGTTCTATTGTGTTCAGTTTACTTGTTGTTTAACTTTGTTAGTCACTTAACCCTTGATCCTCCAGGCCTGCAGCAGCAGTACAGAGAGTGCCAGGAGCTGCTTGGCCTCTACCAACAATACCTTTCTCAGCAACAGGCGAAACTTAACCAGTCAATTGCCCAGCTCAGCCAGGCACCAGCTCACAGCAAGGTAAGGTATAGGGTTGCTGTAGCAAGTGCATCATGCAGTGTTACACGGTGGGCCTGCTGCCGGTGTAAGCCATATACAGAGAACACCCCTTTTTGCCATTTGTCAGGCACTCAGGCACAAAAACATGCAATAGCGCACTGTCCCATGGCCAAGTGCCAAGGCATAAAAAATCACTACAGAAGTCTACTTCAGTCACCGGTTCTATATGACTACAACATAGTGAAAACTCTCTCAAGGTGACACTTCAGAGGCGAAGACGCCTCCCTGGCTTCAGCCTCTGTAAGAATAGATGACTTGGCCAACCTCATTGTCCTGCAGTGGCTCTGAATAATGTGTGTTTGCCTGCTCTCTGACCCTCAGCAAATTAGTCACATTCTCTTCCCCAGTCAACTATAAGATGGGCTTTCCTCCTTATGTTTATCTCATAATGTTCCTGACCTTGGCTTACCTGCCAGTTATGCTCAGTTGAAAATTGTCCTCTAAGTCCTGTGGCCTCTGTCCAGTTTACAGTTTCGAAGGATGATTTGCATTTGTGTTGCTTAACCTAGCCATGTCTATACAAGGTGCGTACTGAAAGCAGCACATTCGCAGAGCAGCAGCAACAGCTTGAGTCCTCCATCAGTGTCCACACATGTGTTCAGGCACAGTTCTGTTGTGTACGTCACTCGCATTGTGGTTCTGTTCAGAGCCCAATACACAACCAAAATGGTTACGAGCATAAAATAGAAGAAAGCAAACTTGAGGACTAAAAAGATTCTTCAGTTCATGGTAACCTACATAAAGTGCAAGTGATATGTGAGCTCTTGTGGAACAGCTCTTGCAAGCACAGGCTATTACTACACATTGCAGCATGAGCAAATTAGGCTGCTTAGTGACTCCAGTATTGGTAAATTTCAATTTGTAGCCTAGCTCTGCATCAGGGTTTTATGGAGCAGGCGTTAATGTTTTTGGCTGAAATACTCCATCAATTTTTCAGAGGCTTACTAAATTGGCCAAAATGCATTCATTGTCCTCTTTGTTCTCTGTCCAGGTGCTCAGTAGTGAGGAAGCCCCCAGCAGAACATCTACTAGCAGAGCTAATGGCTCACTCTTTGATGGCTCATACCTCAGCCTTGCTGCTACTCACGCACAGCAGCCTCAAGTGCACAAGAGAGGTGGTGGAGGAAAAGCAGCAGTGCAAACCCTTTGCAACCCTGCCTCTCTGTCCTGTGTTAGTGAGTTCAGTCCAACTGATGGACCGATCAAACAGCATAGGAGTCAGAAAAGAGAGTGCTGGGAACCGCACTCTCAGTCCCCCCACAGATGTGAGCATTCTCGAGGCAGTGCTCAAGAAAGTGGCTATGGAACAGAGCAACGGAGAAGTAATGACTCTTGTCTAGAGAATGGCCACCATAACACTTTTAACCAACAGGAGTGCGAAAGGTACAGTAGTACTCTTTGCAGCCATGATCTGTGTTCCCACATGAGTACATTACTTTCATGTGGTTTAAATCAAAAACTGTGCATTTTATCAAGACACAGGCTAGTGGAAATATAGTATATTAAACAAATGTAATGTGTATTTGCAGGCTTCAGAGTGGGAATGCGATTGGCTCAGAGGCCAAGGAAGCCCTGACCAGGCCTCTGCTGGGTCATGAGGACTGGGAACAGAAGAGGCACCAGCTGCTACTTCAGAAGATGCAGTTGGAGATGGAGAGAGAGAGGCTGCATGCACGGCTGGCTGAGCAGGAGGACAGACTCAACAGACAGAATCAGCAGCTACATCAGTCGCGTCTTGATTACAGCAGGTAGAATACAGAAGCCAGAGAGAAATAAACCATATTTGTATTGGGGCTTATGTTGATACTTATAGGTAGTTACTTCTATTCAAGAAATGTAGTCCTGTTTTTCTGTGTCCTTGTACTTCTTCAGTGTCTGTCATTGCAGACTGGCATAACCTCAGTCCAGTCTCTTTTTCTTCTCCTATATTCTTGTTAGATTTCAACAAGCTACTCAGTCTGATTTCAGCAGGTCAAACACTGGAAATGGAGATCCACAGCTGGAAGGTCCCTCCCACCAAGAATTACCCTCCAGGTAAACCATGTAGACTGCTAGACAGGGAGTAAGGCACTCAAATTGCATCTACTTTAGTCAGATACATGCTTTCACTCACACACCTTACAGATTAAATTCACACATATATAGTATGCACACGCATACCCAGGTACTCTAGTACACGCATGAAAGCCAACTTAGTATATTGTGTCTCTGGTCTACAGTGTGCGTGAAGATGCAGAGGGACATCCTACAGGACAGAGTTTGCATGAAAAACAATCTGTACCTGCTCCTCTGGGCAATGGTAATGGTAAGCTTGTATTTTCAATCAATCAGAATTATGTGTTTGGTCTACACATAGACGAACATTTCAGCCCAAAATCTATACACAAGAGTTTGATTTTCTTTAAAACGTATTCATTTCAGTATGCATTGTATTACATATGCATGTAAAGTTGTGATATAGGACTGTATATCATGATGGTCATTTTTGAAACTGTCTTCCCTGCGGTTCTCAGCCTTGCTGCTCTTTTTTCTAATATAACACTCCTATCTTGCATTTCTCAGCAGAGGCCTTAGAGCGGTCCAGAAAGGACATGGCCACATCTCCTGCTAAGTCCCCTGCAAGCCAGAGTAGGCCCACCTCGATGCCTATGATCCCAAAGACCCCTGAGGCCAGGTAACACATTTTGCTGAATTTAAATAAAGCATTAAATAAAGATTTACCCTTTATTCTAATAGCTTTTAGGTAAATTCAGCATTACAGTGCTATTTATTATGTTTTATAAATGGTAGGACTACAGGAACCACGGACGTATTAGCTCGTAGAATCAGTTCTCAGAAGACCAGCCTGTGTTTTAATTTAAAAGAGGCAACGTGCCAGCCAGAAGGGTAGATTGCTCATTGAACAACAATGAAAAACACCACAGTTAAGCACTTGAAGGATGCAGTTTAAAAGAGGCACAAAACATTTATCCATGCTAGTTTAGCTTTCTTCAGGACTAACTAGGCTTCTTTACTACAGGAAAGTCTGAATGAGTTTTTCTGTGGGCCTGCTACTACTGTCTCGTGGGGGAGTATTTGCAGGCTGTTGGGCTGCAGTATTGTATTTGTTCTCTCTGACCTCTTAAGACAATTGATGTTTTTTCCAATAAAAATACTGAAATGCACAAATATAGTACAAGTCAAGAATTTGAAGCATTTTCCTGGGTTTGTAGTTGCTGCACTGTTACAGGCTAAATGATGTCCTTTCTTAGTCTAGCTAACATTTCGAGCTGTGAGAAGCTAAATGAAGCTTTTTACTGGGCTAGCTAGCGCTGTGGCCAGCCTGTCAGGAGACATGCTGCGTTCCATTAGTCGGCCTAGCAGGGACCCTGCAGCAGGTGTAATTGAACAGACTTCTGGATGCACACACTGCCCTCCCTTCTCTCTCTGCCACAGTAATGAGACAGAGAAGGCAAGAGTGAGGGAGAAATGTTAAAAGTGTGTTTGAGGGTGAGTGAGGGGTGAGAGCATCGGATAAAGTGAGAAATGGGAAGCTAGGAAAGTTATAGCAGGTTGAGATGGCTAGAAATGGAAATGGTGCGAAAGACGTAAAGAGGCAGATGGGTTTTGAGAACAGGAATGAATGAGTACAAGCATCAGACTTTCCTAAAAAGGAAAGGACATTCATTACCCTTTTTCTTATACCCTTACACAGAATGGTAATTAACCTTACTGTGTGTGTGTGTGTGTGTGTGTGTGTGTGTGTGTGTGTGTGTGTGTGTGTGTGTCTTAGTGTGAGGTGCCTTAGAAGTTGCTGTGGAATTGCAAGAAAATATTATATGCTGAAAAGCAATTTGTAACTGTGTTGCTGCAGACCTTTTATATTTTAAAAAAAATTATTCCTAAGATTGATCCATTTCTTTTCTAGTGTAATATCATAATATGAAATTTCATTTTGTAAATGTGGTGGCTGATGGGAGATGAAGTAAATGTAAAGCAGCCCCCCCACCTCCACGGCCTAAAGGATATTTCTTCAAAACAGCTCAAAGTTTACAACTTCCGATAAGTAACTCTTAAACAAAGCAGTGCGTGGTTCAAGTTGAACTGTGAGCTCCAGCAGATGCCCATTAATTCCAACAGGGGACCCGGGGTATCAGATCTTATTACCATCCATTTACACCTCCAATGCCTATTAAAATAGTTGGACTCTTAGCTACACAGTGTTTTTTTTTATATTTTTTTTTACTACCAGTAATGAGGAACTCTGCCTTTTAGATGCCTTCTTTCACGTGCATCTCTTCAGATAGTTGTAGTCCTTTGGCAATCCACTGATTTGGATTAGACATTAATTGTAGTCAGTAAGAAAAAGACGATACTGTATGTTGTGATTCTTAGCTCATTTTAGGTCAATTTGGGAAAAAGTAACCGAATACCTTGTTAGAGCTCCTTGACTTTAGTTAATGATCTGAGGGATGGTGTTATTTTAGTCATTAGTGCCCCTTGACATAAATATGTTATTGTAGCACATTAACATGAGAATAACCAAGTTTTTAAGAGAAAGGAGCTACATGTTTATTTTGGTTGCCTTTAATCTCATCAGTATTGCATGCTAATTCCATTATATAAGCAAATATATAGTATGGTATAAAACATACAATTATGATATAGAATGTTACCTGAACCCCTCTCTTCTATCTGGCAACAACGTGCCCCTTGTGACCATCTAATCTTAACCAATTCAATCTTGATGTGCAAATTGCAAAACCAAGCTTGGGTTAACATTAAGTGACCTTCTTAATCCTTTCATGAATGCTGTGCTAGTTAGTAATGAGACAGTTCCAGCGCACCCCGCCCATCTCATCTCCATCCTTCCTGCCATTGCCCGCCTGCTATTGATTGGTTGGGAAATTGACATGCGGGATATATGCAGTGGCCATTATAGGTTTTTTATCTTACTGTTTGGACTGCAAATGAAACGGGGCGCCGGGGCGAGACGGCTATCTTTAATGAAAGAGAGGACCCAAATAAGCAGTGAAAAGTTACGAGTGGGATGGAGGTGGTGGGGAGCATAGGCAGGGGAGTTTTGTGGAAATTTTATCTATCCTTACAGAGCTAGAAGAGACAAGCTGTGCTGGTGCACTGGGAGAATGAAGACCAAAGGTTTTTATTACATCAAGAAAGGTGCAGTTTTGTATGCGTTGAAAGGACTTGGAAAGTATTTGAAGGCAAAATGCTTAACTGCTGTTTGTTTCAGTGTGAATATTCAGAGAAGGATATTGTCTGAATCAACTTTCTGCAGCTACATTATTCTCCCTAAGGCTTCTTTTTGTTCTACTGACAGTATTTAACAGTACTTTTATGTTGCCAGTGCAGCGTCTCTGGATGCTTTCAAAATGACCCAACATCCCAAGCCAAAGCTTTTTTTTCTTTTTTACAATGACAGAAACTTTTGTTCCTGTTACTGTTGTCCGTGCATTTCTCTGTATGCATGTAGCAGTAAAATAGATTTGCCAGGACTCCCTTGGGGGATATTAATATCGAGCAGCAGTTCACAACTTTACCTCACACAAACTGGAGCCAAGAAATGAAGTTCTTTGTTGCACTGTATACCCCTCTGAAAATCTATTGGCATTCTCTCTAGCCCTCATGCAATCTCTGTGCCACCCCCCTCACCCTACCCACTACCACCCCCACCCCACCATTCCTGCCCAAACTGTACCCCTACCCCCCGCACTCCCCTTGTTATAGATTGTGACCGCCGGTAAGTGATGCATTATTCATTACCAACATGTCGTTTGTTGATGGATGGCTGTTTGAGAGCCCTGTCCGTTAAATAAATCAACAAATAAAAATGCAAATTCTCACATTTCGAGAGAAGGAACCCAGCCAAAGTCCCTCCCCCACATTCCCCTTCTGCCTTCCTCTCTATCCACAAAGCTGCACTCGCTTCCAGTCTCTCTCTTACAAGCAGACACACACACACACATTCACTGTCGCTCATGCTCTAGCTCTATTTCTCCTTTGCTGTTGACAGGCAGGAGACCAAATGAGGAAGACAGATTTACTTACTTGAGCTTCATTCTTTTTTTTCATCAGTTATCATCCCTCAGCCGTCTTAACCCTCATTCAATTTCTTTCCCTCACGCTCAAACATGTGCATACATTAGTTCATGTTGCCGAAGCCAAATATTGCCTTTTTAAAATCTTTTCAGCTACTGATATGTGCTGCCTCAAGTTAGTGTGAAAACATGACATATCAAGGTCTATAGTTACGTGTGGAGGAAGACAAATGCGCTCTGATTGGAAGTCCCACCAGTGTATCTGTCTACTGACCACCCACATGCATATCAACAAGTACACACCAAAGATCGCCCTTACCTGGGTGTGCGGAGCCGCGCGATGCAAATCGATGCAGCTTTAAACGAGTAGAGAATTATGTTTGCAACATCAGTGGAGCGTGCTTTAAAGAATTCATGTTTTGTATCTGGAATGGCCGTCGTTCGACTGTGTATACACTGAATAATTTATCAAGCCAGCCAGACTGAGGGATTGAATCTCTATTAGCTTAATCTCCCACGTTTTGGTTTATTTATTTCGCTGCACATTCCCTCATTTCTATTCCAGGGGAGAAAGCACCGGGTTCTCTCCCTCTTTTTCCTCTCGCACCTGCAAGAAACAGTGTTTTTCTACCGGGATGCCCCAGTGGTTTTGACTTGTTAACGCTGCTTGTTAAGGTTCAGTAGACACTTCAGGAAGACAGATTCTGTTAACACGTCGAAGAGAGATTTGCTTTCATATTGTCTACGTTAACAAGTGAAAGGTGAATGACAAATATTTTAGTACAAGCGTTGGGCTTCAAGTAGACTTTAGCCTTGTGCGTGTCTGGTGTTGGTCCCTTGGCTTGCACCTTCTCTGCTTTACATTAAGGGCACGCATTTAACTGCCGGTCTTTGTGTGCATTTCTCTGTTCATATGAAACAGCGTGATGATACTCATTTACGATATTTTTTGTTGTTGTTTTTTTGGGGGGGGAGGGTCAACTTTAAAGACTGGAGGGAAAAATAAGAGCCCTTAATTTATACCTTAAGTATAAATGTATATTTATGTTAAAATGACTCATGTTTAGGAGCCTATTATGTAAAGGCTGACAATATCCTGTCAATCTTACCTCCAGTTTTGAAAAATTTAAATTTGATCACAAAAAAAATGAAAAAACAAAACAAGCATTGCCTCTGTAGCGGCTGCACTAGGTTCTGTATTATGAATATAGCAATGCAACCTTTGAAACAAGCTGTGGTCACATGTGGAAAAAAAAGAAACTGCATTTATTGAAACAACCTCCCAAAGTGTTTTTATTATTTTTCCAGGTTGGACTTTTCTGTGGTTGAGTTATTGGATATCTTTACTCCCATTTCTGCACCTGAGCTAAGCAAACCGTCTACTCGAAGATCCAAAACCTCGCAACGCAGGCCGACCCTCACTGCCCCTAAATCGGTGGGCAGAACCCTGCTTACCCCCGCTGTGCCTTATACTCAGCATACCCAGCTAGACCTGGAAGAAAGCCAAATACTGGAGGATATTTTCTTCATTTGCTGACAAAGAAGAAAATTGTCAGCGAAAAGGGAAAAGAAAAATCCAGTCATTTGATATTCATCTGTTTGATCTAGACTTTTTTGTTCTTACATTTAATTTTCAATTGACATTCTAAATCAGAATGATCATGATGTTGTGGATTGTACTATTGGTTTGTGGTTTTAATACAAATAAACAAATATTTATTCAGAATGGGTTATGCTTCTAGTTTGTAATTGATCTTTTATGTTGCTTCTTCAGGGAAACTGTTTACCACTGAGCTTTGCTTATTGTATGTGAGGATCTTGGGAGCGTTAATGTGAACATCATGGTACACAATTGTACATTGACAATCTGTTGATTTGATTATGACTAAAATGAATTGTTCATACCCAATGCCTGAACTTCCTAAAAAATCTCCCAGAAATACAGTATATGTAGAACTGTAGAAAACTCATTGTAGGGAATAATGGGTGGGTAATTTGTGTGGGTAATCTCGTATTGATAAATTGTCAGTAATTATGACACGACACAGGACACTTTATTCTAGACTGTGCTTTATTATTGGGCTAAGCTGAGACGCATCATTCATTTAATATTACAAAAAAAGAGTTCAGGGGACCAGAGAATGGTGCAGTCTGGAGAGACGGGGGCGGGAGCCTAAAGCGCACTGCCCAATCAGAAGCTGAGCTCATCAGGGACCTGGCAAAGCTTAATATGCAACATTCATTTCCCCACCCTCCATATGTGCTGAAATTGGGAAATAGATTTCCAGAATACTTTGAAAACCATATGAAGTAAAATGAGATTCTAGCAACACTACTGAGCTTTAGAAATAAAACCACTGATAACAGCACTGAAACAAATGATAGTAACTCAATATTTCTTGATGAGATAGTGCAGTTTCCATTGAATTTTGCTCTTGGTAGAACACATCAGTTGAACAAGATCAGAGCTCTGTCAAGCAATACAAGGCAGGATGGGAAAAAGTAGGAGGGAAATAAAGTTCAAATCAAAACTGGTCTTTATGTAATCAGTTAATCAGTGATCAGCTCCGTACATATTAGCAGCAACTTATAGTGACCTCAAGGCATATCTTCTGTTGTGATTACATATCTGATTGAACAGTTGGTGGTTTATGAGGGAATGTTTAACTAGGAATTGCCCCTTTTTCATTTTATTTTAAAGGTTTCAAAATGACAGAAAATGATACTCAAAATGAAAGAGGAATCTTTCAATTGGCGTCTTTTTTTTGACAATCTTCCAACAAAACTAACCTTTTGAAAGAGAACAAAATGAGTTTATAATTACAAATATACATAAGGCTTTAGTATTGTACTGCATTGTTCTGAATAGTTTACCAGCAACAGGAGAATGTAAAATCAGTCTTTAAAGTTGTTGAACTCCGAGTTTGCCAATACTGGTAATATGTGATGTAGTAGCACTTACAAGCAAACAGATCGGTGGCAATAATAGAGCTCAGATCTTGAATCAAACGGCACAAATAAATAAATAACAAACACAAATAAATAAATAAATTAACACAAACATAAATGATTAAAATCTGTCTTTGACATCACTTGGTCAATAGGAGCATTTTTCTCCATCATCAAAGAAGTGCTGAAGGCATGGTCCTGCAGACAGGAACAATGATCATCTGTGGACCACAACAGTGGCCCATGCATGTCATATAAAAACTATTTGGTCACGTACCAACTCATAGAAAAATAATGCCATGAAAGCATGCATATTATCTCAGACATGACTTATAAATAAATATCTAAACAAATAGATAAATGAATAGAACCCATCAAAGTATTTTTTTTTTAATAAAATAGGTCAATGTGTGTCTAAGCTCTAACTGAGGTCAATGCTCTCCCTGACTGTATTCTGGATAAATGCCTTGGTCAGGTCCTACAGTTTGTACCGTATCCTAGCGACTTTTTTTTTTTTTTTTTTTTTTTTTTGTACCTGGTTTTTATTGAGCATTATCATGTTTTCATTCATATATTTTTTTTTTAAAGTATTTAAAGTACTTTATCCAGTCCTTGTAGATAGAAGTAAAAGTCCTATAAAATATGCAAACCTATGTACAGAGGAAAACAGAGCAAAAAAAGAAACAATTTACAGTATATTCATCGGTTTATGTATATATTTATATATATATATTTATATTCAAACTTCTGCTCTGTTTCTTGTTGTTTTTGAACCACTATACTTTGTTTTACTTTTCTCATGTAAACTTGCAGCTTAAAGTTGGAGCAAATAAAGAAGAGGTGCTTGGCACTCTAGTTCCCTTCGCTCTGCTTCCCTTTTCCTTATTTCTCTCGACATGAAAACATGGGCTAGGTGAAAGACATGAGTGATTGCTCAAACAAACCATTAGAAAAGCACAGACCGTGTTGACACCTTTTTCAATTTTCTCAGAGCAGGCAGTCAAAGAGGGCACACAGTGTGGCGATCAGGGATACCAGACACATGACATTTAGCTTCAGATGTTATTGTTAGCTCAAAGACAGCTCAGGTGGGTGTACAAGACACTTTGTACTAGCCAACCACGGATACTGCCAGAGCACGGTGGTCATCTGGTTTGCACTGTACGCCATGCTCAGGGCATTGTTATGTGGCACACACACAAACACTGGTGTCCTGGGATGTGTAGTGGCGTCTTTAAGCCTCACTGGATTTGGAAGGTAAATGTTAAATTATTCAATCTGCTAAAAAGGTTAGACACAGACACTAGGGAAACGGCATAATGAGCAGTTTATAGGAAAAACTAGTAACAGCACCCAACAGGAAGCATTGTCTTCCAAAGTGTCATATAGCCTTATAAATATTCATATACATAAATATTCATTGAGTAATCTCCACCAGCTGAATATGTGTTGAATGCAGGATCCAATAAATCCAAGTCTGTTGACCTTTTGCAGGTATATAGTAGTGTTCATACCATTTTTGTAGACTATTATGAGAAACTGTATGCTAAAGCAATATGAAACCAGCCTCAGTGACACAGCAGGTGTAATGGGTAAATGGCTTTTCACACTTATTGCTTCATTTTACAGTTTCATTATGCTTTTTCTGTTTATATTTAATTGTATGAGAACGTAGAACGTAAGGCAATATAACATCTTCTAAAGGATATGCTTCATGTCAAGTATTACCAGCAGAGATCCACACATTAACTGCTGGATGGGAAAGTACATAAAACCTCCCTTATTCTATTCAGTGGGAAGCCAGCTCTCTAACTGTAACAGCGTTCATCAACGTTACATCACCATCATAACCATTACGATCTAATGTCAGGTCCAGTAAGCTCAATCACTTCTCTTATCAAGCCATGTCATATCAGTCGTAACCCTAAACTTTACCCTAGTTTTGACTCCAACCAGTGGAACGTAGTCACAGGTGCCCTGCACACAGCTTTGATAGTTAGTACCTGTGCCAACAGGTTACCTAATGCCCACTTTTATCTGAAGTGTAATCGCATGAGTCTACATTACTTCTAAATGATTTTTTTTTTTCAAAGACATTGATGGACCAACAGTGGTCAGACGGTTTGTTATATTGGACATGCACTGAAGCTCTCTACACAGCTGAGAAATGATATGGATCTGGCTGTAGTTTTGACATCATAATAGCGCGTTGGCTGCTTGCAGTAGTTTGTGTTTCGTTTTTCTTTTTTTTTCTTCTTTGTTTTCTGAGAGCACAGTGCTTGATGGCAGATTCTGCAGGTGACAAGGCACACCTTGACATGGTGACAGCCCATACGCTACATGCACTTTACTGAATGCAAAAGAGAGCAAGGGTTGTGAGATGTATTCATTTTGGTTCAAGTTTCAAAGAGAAGTTTGTGTGTGTGTGTGTGTGTGTGTGTGTGTGTGTGTGTGTGTGTGTGTGTGTGTGTGTGTGTGTGTGTGTGTGTGTGTGCGTGTGCGTGTGTGTGTGTGCGTGTGTAAGCTCAAACGATATGTTTGGAATAGAGTCGAAGATAATTGTCCTTTTCCTCTAAAATCATTTAGCCTGATTCTCTTAAAGCCTGCTACTGAGATGTGGCTTTTTGCATTTTCAGATAATATTTACACCATATGTGTACTCTCACACATGTATCTTTTAGCAATATATTGTGTGTCAGCATATAGTTAATCAGAGATAGGAATGCCTGCAGTTTTGGGAGCTGCCAGATTTGCGATTCTTCCCAAGCAGAGCAATGTTTCAAACTCCAGCTAAAATCTACAAAAAATTACAGCTCAACATAGTCAGTAGCCGTTCTATATACAGACACACATATATAAAATATGTGCATATAAATACATATATTTGTTTGTGATTAATATCTATTTATCCATATATACTGTATATATGAATACATTTGCTTGAATGCTTGTTATACATATATATGTACTGCAAATATAAACAAGTTCATATATTTCAAACGTTTCTGATGTTATTCTATCTATGAGGTTAGGATGTCAAGTTAAAAAAGATAAGGCTGTGATACGGAGCAGCCCCTCCCATGCACTCGCCATCCCTCCCAAGACAAAATGAGAAGAGAAAAAAATAAACATTTTGAGTAATTGTAAACTAGCGAAGTGAGAGACCCCATTTGGTCATCTGAAATAGTTTTGCCTGTATTCAAAAAGCATATCAGCAATATATATGTATATATACATGTGTTGTATATATTCGAAATGTACACTTCTTTTAAGTGCAACTCCTCAACCAGTTAGCACTGACTGAAAGAGATGCAGTGGTCCGAGTATATTTGAGCTACAAGTCCTCAGCAATAAAAATGTTTGGTCTTTTGGTCCCTAAAACAACTAAGGAATGACAGGTAAGACTCCCTGGAGACCGTTGCTATGGCTCTCCTTGGCAACGGTATCCCCTGGAAACGGACAGGCACTCCGAGCTAAAGATGGCCATCCCAAATCGAAGCCAATTTGTGTCCTGAAAATATCACATTCCCTACTTAAGTTCTCTCTCCGAGAATTTCTTGTCCCTTCTTGTTTCAAGTCTTATAAATTGGTCTTCAAAAGTCAATTGCCCCAAACTCAAACCATCTTACAGAAAGATCTCCTACGGCAATCCTCTATTCAGTTTTTAAAAAGTTTTGTTCTTGTTGGACTTTTGACATCCGTATTCCCTTTAAGAGTTCAGTGGGGTTGGTCATTGTAAGTAGGTTTGATATAGTTTCTTTTACTTTTTTTCCTCAT